TCTTGTTCGACCCTCAACTGTCTTTTCTCCCCCACATTCAAGCCATGACCCGCTCTGCCTTCCCTCACCTCCGTAATGTCGTCCGACTCCGCCACTACCTCAACCCTCATCACCTCCAGGCTCGACTATGCAAACGCCCTGCTTGTCGGCCTTCCCAACTCCTCCCTCCACAGACTGCAGATAATCCAGAGCCCTGCAGCCCGTGTCCTCTCCCGCACTAAACTCCATGACCCCATCTCCCCCATTCTCGCCCGACTCCATTGGCTCTCTATCCTTCAGAGGATCCAGTTCAAGATCCTGGTCCTCATATACAAAGCCCTCCATGGCCTCACCCCATTCTACCTCTGTGACTTCCTAACCCCCTACCAACCCGCCCGCTCCCTCCGCTCAGCCGGCTCTGACCTGCTCCACGTCCCCTGATCCACCCGCCCCACCATTGGCGGGAGAGACTTCAGCCACTCTGCTCCCAACCTCTGGAATTTCATCCCCCAATCACACCGCCTCGCCCCCTCCTTAGCCTCCTTCAAGTCCCACCTCCAAACCCTCCTCTTCGACCATGCCATCGGTCAACCTCCTTCCCCTCCCCTCACTTCTCCCCCCCTGACCCCAGCTCGGGTCTGAAATGCATCATCCTCCCGACGTGAAAGGCGCTATACAATGTAATCTTGTTGTTGTTGTTGTTAAATCAAGAACTGATGTGAAAAATAAACTTGGGTTTTGTGTTATATAGTGAATAATCTGTATCTTTAAAAGTTGCATTTAGATTTCTCCTCCAGTTATTTGACCTCCTAACCAGAACCAAACTCTGGGCCATTCTGCCCCCCTTATCTGGAACTCCATCCCGAAGTCTCTTTGAATCGATCTCTTCCCTCTTCTCTTTCAGGCGTGTCTCAAAACCTCTTTGACCAAGCTCTCTGGCATCTTTCCCCTCCTCCCTTCAGCTCCCACCCCGAGCTTTGATAACCTTCCAGCACTGTGGATCCACTTTTGGACGTCCTCCAAATTGTAGATGTTAAAGAGCTGGAATTGTGATCAGTTCTCTAATAAGTTAATCAACTTATGAACGATCTAATGGAACTTTTAGACTTGCATTTTTTTTAAAGTTATCATTGTTTGTCTAAATTGGCTGCAGTAAAGCAGGATCAAGATTTTGGAATTGTGTGTGTGTGTGAAAATCAAACAAATGCCATCAAATGCGAATAGTGGAAATAGTGGACATTGAAGCTGAGAGTAAATGTAAAAGAGTGCTGCTTTCTCCGATTGGTGTTGCCTCATTAATCTCTGCTGCAAACACCATTATGTTGAAATTTGCATTAAAAAATCTGTATTGTGAATATTTCAGTAAATGCACTTTAATTTGAGCTTTTGCTTTTTGTTTTAAATGTTCATAGTGACTAGATTTTGTCACCCTTTCCCCCTCCCCATTTCAAGCCGTGAGTAGTTGTTGTACAATCAATTTCAGCAACTGTCTATAGATATTTATACCAAAATACTGTATGCTAGAAATTGTGAATAAACCATCTGGAGTTGCATATTGTACTTGTTAGATATAATGAAAATATACTCGTCCTAAAAAAATCAATTAGATATTATTTGGCTCTTAAAATATATGCCTACTTTATCAGTGTAACTTCATATTATGTGATTTATGATTTCTGAAATTCAGCCGGTTACTGACCATTGTTCATTGGACTGCAACTGATTGCTTTTTTGAACTAAATATTTGTGTGTGTATGCAGGCGGTAAATTTTATACCATATATAAGGTGCAGTCATTCATCTAGCTGTGTTTCATGTGAATACTTTTTTTATTTACTCTAAACTATGTTTACTTAATTTATAATACTTTTAATAAATGTTAGAATACAGCAACAACAAATTGCATTTACTTAATGTCAGTGTGGACATGGTATATAGACAGTCGAGGGTTTGCGCCCGAGCTGGGGGTTGGATTCAGAAGGGGTGGGGGCCAATGTGAGGAGGAGGGAAACAAAATGATTGAAGGCTTGGTCAAAGTCAAAGGTCTTGAGACAGACCTCGTAGGAGGCTGAGGGAAGGGGTGAGGCGAAGGGACTCTGGGATGAAGTTCCAGAGAGTGGAGGCAGAAAGCCTGATTGCCGTTGGTGGGGTGGGCAGGGCAGAGATGTGAAGCAGGCCAGCGCCTGCCTGTTGGAGGGAATGGGTGAAGTCAATAGGGTTTAACAAGATTGCTGAGGTAGGGTCGGGCACGTCTGTGGTCCGAGACAGTCTTGACAGATTGAAATAATGTCATTGGTGACTTTGACTGGGTAGTCTCTGTACTGTGAGCATTGCAGAAGGAGAGGAGACACTGCAGGGGTTCATACAGAGAGCTCAGAGAGAGAAAAGAATGAAACTGGGCAGGAGCGACTCATTCAAGTACCTTGGAGAGGAAAAGCAGGTTGGAGATGGGATGGGTTGAAGGGAAGGAGTTTTGAGAAAGGGGCTGATGACAGGTGTTTTGAAGGTTGTGGTTGTTGACAAAGAGAAGTTGACAATTCCGCAGAGGAACAAGGAAGTAGAACTGGAAAGTCAGGAGAGAGTGGGGTCAAGAGAGTATGTGAGATGACAGAGGGAAGAGGGAGAGGTGGGGAGGGGCAGACGCAGCACTGTAAAAACTGGCAAAGTAATTTCAAATTGTTTACAACAAGACTTTCAAAAAAGTTTTGATGATGAGCCATCAAATAATATGTACAATAAAAGCATTTAAAATATTAATCTCACCATCTGAGAAATAATCATAATAGTATCTGTACTTGCAATTGATATAGTGCCTTACTACATCAAAATATCTCAAAAATGCTTCACAGGTTTTTGCTATGAAGCTTTTTTTAATAGTCAGCCGGGTGTCTGATACATGTGGAAACCCATCCCCATGCTTAAGAGTATCCACACCAACTGAGAATTCCTTGCATCCCACCTGCACATGGAAATTCCAGAGATAGATTGTTGGAATGGAACACCACTCTCTCTGGAGGGACGCATCCCGCCTACCTAATTCTGTAAAATATTAGCCACAGGTTGGCAAGAGCCAAGGCTTGGGGACGCCAGAGTGTATTGGGGTACTGCTGGAGTCTAACCAGCTAAAACCATATCATTTACCATTGATATCACTTTTTGGCAAGCTTCCCCGCTACTTGTCCAGCTAGGACCACCCTATCCATTAGGGCTTTGGCTTGCAGGGTTAACAGGAGCTGAGTGGAAGGATTTACTGCCCCCAGTAACTGTTCTGCTCTTCCAAGTCCTGCAGATGAGCCAGGCTGGCTGTGCTGTCATGAGTGTTACTCTGGAATAATGCGGACCAACCTGGCTCAGCAACTGGACTATCGAGACTGCCACAAAGGGTTGACTCAAATCCAATATTCTGTTGCAAAACATTTCACCTTGGAACCAGTTTAGCCCAAAGAGACCCCAATGACCTCTCCCTTCCAAGGAGGATAGTCACTAGTTGGTTGTTTGATGTCTGACAAATGCGCGTTTGAGTCCTAACTAGTTAAATGGTGGGTACCAGGAACTTCCTGCAAGCTTCCTGGTGAGGAAAATCTGTGTCTATTTGTGTTGTACCTTACATAAGTGTAAGGTTCGTGCTGACATTGGGTGCCTAAAAGTTCCACTTGCACAGCATTAATATTTGTACTCTTAATGACCATCCTCCCTTGCCACCACTGGAGAAAAATGATCAACAATTAAACCCCTTTCAACAAAAAAGCAGCAATGAAGGGCTGGTCTTTGCTGAATTTTAAAAGCTGTGAAAGAACATAAATTTGAGGTGGTGGCTGATAGCATTGCAGAAACCAATCAGATTGTAATGATGGAATGCACACAATACCGGGGCATTACAGATAGCAGCAGAGGCTTATTGAAGCTTTGACCTGCAGTTTTATCCTGCAAACGATCCTACCTATCTTCCGTTCTCTGGTTCAGTGCAAATTGTGCAACACTAGTCATGGCATCAGCTTCCTGCCTAGTGCACTGTTTCAGTAGCATATCTACTTAATAATGCAAAAAGACAAAACTGATATATTACTTTGACATTTGACAAGTGATGTCAGAATTGGATGACCAACAAATCACAAAGATATTTTAAAGAAAGTAATTTTTTTTATGGGAGGTTCAGGTGTTTTGTTTTTGTAAAACAAACCGCTCGAACTCTGCCTGTTTTTAAGATTCTTTTCAGTATTCTGAGTGAGTTTCAGGAAAAAAACCACAGCAATGATTTTCTGAAAGCGAAATGTTAATTGTGTGGATACATTTTCTTATTCTATTTCCAATTACCTCAAATTTTTTATTCGGATTGGCAGTTTTTTAGTTTCTGATGTTTAAATATGCAAGTTCTTTCTTCCTTCTTTCTATATCTTGTATTTTTAATCTTTAAAACCCTGTAGGTGTATAGTTTATTTTAGGTCATTCTATAAAATACGTTTTTCTTGATTTATCTTTGAGACTTGAGAAGTATGAGAAATATTCCAGAATCTTTTATTAGATGTTCCGATAAACCTGGTAAAGGAATGGTCTTAAGTCATTTTTTACGCTTGTTTTTATATATAAATATGTTTCTGATAAATTATTGCAAAATAAAATTATAGCAAAATACTGTATTTTACGGAAAAGGGAAGAGAGATTTTTAAAATTATGAATATTTTTAACAGTAAGTAAAAACTATTTACTCTGGTTGATGAGGCAGTTACAAGAGGGCATAGATTGACAATTATCAATCAAAAGGAAAAGGGGGTCAGGTTTTTGTTTTACAGAGTGGGTTGTTAAAATATGGAAACATTTACCACAAACGGTTGTTGAAGTAAGTATTTTTTAAAAAATTGGATAAACAATCAGACTAAAAATAATAATGTATGGGGATGGGTTTAGTTTAGCTGGCGGCAGCACTGATATGATCTGCCTAGGGTGTGTAGGTATTCTATCACATACTTTCTTGTAGAGTTACTCATTTTGATATTTCAATTGATGATTTCTCCTCTTCTCCAGGTTGCTATGGTGTTGATGGAGAGAGTGACTCTATTATGAGTTCTGCCTCTGAGAACTCCACAGAACCCTGGTTCTGTGATGCGTGTAAATGTGGAGTAACGCCTAGTTGTGAGCTGTGTCCGAGCGTGGATGGAATTTTTAAAGAGACAGATGCTGGAAGGTTAGTTTTCCTCCTATTAGTCATGTTCTATGTATTTTTAAAAATTGCTAATTTAACATCTTGGAGGTGCTTGGGAGTAGCGAGCAGGGTGAGAATATAAGCTTGTTGAAGGCAAAACAAGCATTGTAGATCTCATGGACTTCTCTGGTATGCCTAGCACTGCTGAGTATGCTTTTGTCCTAAATTATCAGATGAAGTATTTCTTTAAGTGACTTTATAAATAAAGCATACAAATGACACGCCAAATTTTTATTCATCAAATATTATTGGATTGCATTAGTATGAATAGCTTAAAATGTATATTTGCAACAAAAACTGGCATAGGTTATTCAAAGCTATTATCCATACTTGTCACAGAATCTTATCAGTAAAACCTAAAGTCACAGAGTAATTTTTCCTCTAATTACCTAATTTATCCTGATTATAACTTTTAGACTTGCATACAATAAATCTAATGAAGAAGAAAACTATTGTAATTAGCTTCAAAGAGGTCTGAAACTTGCATAAAGAATGGGTGGCTGATTTGTACACGTTTGTGAGGATAATATACATATAGTCCAGACTGCTAAAAGCCAATCTCTTGATCTTCGGTTGAAGTAAATGTATAACCTTTTTGATATTTGCGATGAATGATTTCCATAGACCATTCTCAATAAATTCCAACCGTAGGAATTTAATTATATTAAATCAATGGTATAGAGATAATATCCATCACTTAGATTATGTTTTATTATTAGCCAACTGGAATTACCAAAACATGTTAGAATATTTTGCATTGACATACCACTTGGATTTGTGAGAATGCCACTGTAAATCTTCTTAACCTTATTTTAGCGTTCTGTTTACAGAATAGTGAAAGTCCAACTTTAAAGGTTAGAGCGGAAAAGGTACCCAAGGCCTTTCATACTCCTCGACAAATCCCCTCATTTTACCTTTCGTCAGTATTTTAAATCTACGTTTATCCTGCTGCTGGCCACTCAGTTCTTTCCTAGGGAAAGCAAAAGTGTAGAAAATTGGGGGAGAAAAAAAGACTGATTCAGGTAAAATTAAGTCTGCCTTGCAAAATAAAATTGAGAGGGAATTTTTTTCTGTTATGTGAACAGTGAGCGCTATTTTATAACATTTAAAACTGGTTGCATTTTCATGTACTTCGTACTTATCAACAACAACAAAATTACATTTGTAAAGCGCCTTTCACTTCGGGAGGACGTCCTAAAGCGCTGGATTAACTCATTGGAATGGACTTGTTTTCTTTACTGAAGATTAAATTGGTAAATCGAAGTAGAATAATTGAACAGATGCTTTATATAAAGGCTATTTTTTAATGAGATCAATTGCATGTCTAAATTTTGCAGAATAGCTTTAAAGCCTTATTCATTTTCCTTCTAAATTGGAAGCGTTGGCAAAATGTGAGATTAACAGGTCTGGTACTACAAATTTAAAAATATTTTGTTATGATGAAATTGCTGACCAGTTACAGTGACATTTTAAAGAAGATATTTCATTTACATTTTATCAATTCAGAAAAAAATGCAAATATACGTTAGATTATGTTATAGCATGCCAAAGTACACAAGTATACCATGTAAGTAGCATGGCAGTTTTTCAATAACATGCTGCTTCTGATGCTACCTGTCTGCAAACTGTACAGAGGTCCATCAAGCCTCTGCGATGTCAGTGATGACCTTGCAAACCCCCTGGATATGTTTGTAGAGGAGTGCCTATTGACTGTCTGGCTTCCTGCATATAGTGCTTGGGTTTAATCAGCCTTCGTGATGTCAGCAGCAACTTTGGCAGTAATGGTGAGAAGTTTGAGCATAGAGTCTCCTTTAAGGACCCACTACCACATTATAACAAGATTGGACTGTACTGCTGTTGATTCCAAATATTTCTATTGATTCCAGTAACCTATGTTCAATGCTTCACCTAACTTTCAATATTTAAATTCCTTTGATCAAGCAGAGTTGGTTAGTGAATCAAAATTGTGGTGATTGTCACTTAATCCTTTAATTAAAAAACTTTCTAAGTTTTATTTACATTGTTCTTGTTCTTGCCAACAGCAGTAACTCAAAGTGTAATTGAGGCAGCAATGCTTCTGCTGTTGACCATTTGTTTCACCATTTCTGTTTCACAATTAGAGAAGATTTCTACTGCCAATAATGGCTGTGGAGCACATGTCAATGGAGCAGTTAGCAGTCATTGGCATATGTGGACTATTGCCAACCATTACCAGTGGGCTTCTTAGTTGGTAATGAACAATTATGTTGTTCAAATTTAGTGTTGCTATTGTTCAAGCCTGAAGGTACACCTAGAATTTTGTTTGGCAGTAGTGTGGGGGAGAGGGTCAAGAAGAGAGGTAATGATGCTGCCTAATTATAGTTACTGTATTCTGTCAAGGTTTGTGCTGAATATTTCTCAACAAAGGAAAATAAATTATTTCAGTTTGGCAGATATTGCAAGAACCATCTATCCAGTTCCTGCATTAAATTGAAATCTGCCTCATCATTTCTGTAAAAATACAATCAAAAGGTGTTACTGGTGAAATAAAAAAGGTTTGCAATTTATTTCATGATGCTGAAAAATGCTCTGATATTTCAAGGCATTGTGACATGAAGTTGGGATGTACGGATTTGTGACTGCTGGTTTCTTTCCATAAACTGGGTTCCTATTCTCATTGCTTTGCTAACATGATGCTAGTTACATAAGGAGAGAAACATTGAGATTTTCAGGATAAATCACCTTGATTCAAACTTATGCGTCTTCACACAAACACTTTCAGAACTCAATTGGCAGAAGTATGGGTACAAATCACTCGACATGGCAGAAAATGACCAGGAAGAAAATATGAACTATCAATAACTTAAAATTATAGCTGCATTTTATTTTGAATTAAAGATGGAGCAGCAAATCAGTTTATTAGGCTTGACTGGAAAATTAGTGTTCTGCTTCTAGCTGAAACAGAGGGTTTGATGTGTTTTGTTGTGTGTCTATTTTGGAGAAGGAAATCCATGTGTCTGAAAATATGCATATCTGAGAAAACATTAAAAAAGCCTTACAGTTTGGGGGTCATTTCATCAACAACAACAATAAGGTTAGATTTGTAAAGCGCTTTTTATGTCGGGCGGACGTCCCAAGGCGCTGGACAGAGTATAGCATTTCAGACCCGAGCTGGGGTAGGGGGGAGGGGGAAGGGAGGGAGAGGAAGTGGAGGTGGTCGATGGCAAGGTCGAAGAGGAGGGTCTTGAGGCGGGACTTGAAGGAGGCTAAGGAGAGGGTGAGGCGGAGTGACTGGGGGATGGAATTCCAGAGGTTGGGGGCAGAGTGGCTGAAGGCTCTCCCGCCGATGGTGGGGAGGGTGGGTCGGGGGACGTGGTGCAGGCCAGAGCCGGCTGAGCGGAGGGAATGGGCGGGTTGGTAGGGGTTAGGAGGTTGCAGAGGTAGGGTGGGGCGAGGCCTTGGAGGGCTTTGTATGTGAGGACCAGGATCTTGAACTGGATCCTCTGAGGATAGGGAGCCATTGGAGTTGGGCGAGAGTGAGGGAGAGTGGGTCACGGAATTTGGTGCGGGAGAGGACACGGGCTGCAGAGTTCTGGATTATCTGCAGCCTGTGGAGGGAGGAGTTGGGAAGGCTGACAAGTAGGGCTTTTGCATAGTCGAGTTTGGATGTGATGAAGGCATGAACAAAAGTTTCAGCGGCCTGAGGGGTGAGGTATTGGCGGAGTCAAGCGATGTTACTGAGGAGAGCCTCAGTCTTGTTCACATTCAACTGCAGGAAATTTGCCCTTATCCAGAGATGGATTATCACCTGACTGTTTTCATGGTGACTCAGGGAGCGAGTCCATTGCTGTGGGCCAGGCTTTATGGACTTTGTCATTGAGAACTGCATGGGGAAGGGGAGGGCTGCTTCGCATATCTCCAGATACATTTGATGCACTAAATCCAAATGTACAGCTACATTGATCTCCCCCCTTCCTTCCCATGAGGTACTGAGCTGATTTATTTATCTGGGATTAATGTTGCTCGCTACTTTTATGTTATGAGTTGACCTGGTATTGCAGTAATGTTTGTGTTTTATAATTTTTTTAAATATTCTTGTGCAGTATGATTGAACATAATGTATTCAGTTTGGTCAACCCGTCAGATTTGTTTTAAACTCAATACTCTTTTGGCCTTTTATTCTTTAGGTGGGTCCATGTTGTCTGTGCCCTTTATGTCCCTGGAGTTGCATTTGGAGATATAGACCGACTTCGTCCTGTTACCCTTACAGAAATGAACTATTCTAAATATGGTGCCAAGGTATGTGTGTGTGTTATATGAAATGTTTCGAGCAGATGAAAACATGCTTGGCTTTTGGAGCATCTGGCAAGGGGATTATGTAAAAATAAACAGAAGCGTGGAAATAAGTAGATTAAAACCAAAAATTATGTTCTGGAGTACTGTTTGCATACAATTAACATTTGTTTTCATTATAGTCCTCGCAGGTGTTTCCAAAATATTTCCACCAGGTTTATGTCTGCACAATTAAAAACGAGAATACATGTGAGAAAATGAGAATAGAGCACTGTAAAAAAAAAAACACTATTGTAAGAATGCAAACTTGAAAATGTAGGGCAATTTAGGAAATCCATAGTGCAGCATAAATTCATAGAAGCACAACTCAAGTAATCTCTGTATAGTCTGACGAAGGATAGGCATTTGTGTATGTTCCTGCTATTCCTAGCTCATTCCCTCATAACTATAGAAGCTCACTGAGATAATGTGGTACTAACGTAAGGGGGGTTTAAGGAGTGGAAGGTTTGTGACTGTTATAGATGTTCTATTGTTGATTTTCAAGTAACTTATAGTAACCACGAAGAAAGAAGGAAATAGTATAGAATGATGTAACTGGACTTGTGTTCATACACCAATGCGCAGTGTTTGAAATAAATTTGGAGTATTAATTTTATTGATGCTTTCTGCTTCAATCACTGCATCTGGCAGTGAGTTCCACATTCTCACCATTCTCTGTGCAAAGAAGATCTTCCTTCATCTATTTTCCATCTGTTGGTGGCTATTTTATCCTTGTGCTTCCTTGTTATGAACAATTCGTAATTATGTTACTTGTTGAACCCTTCAAAATTTTAAACACCTCTTTCAAATCCCCTCTCAGTTGTTTCATCTCCAGGGAAGAAAGCTCATCCCTTGTAGCATCCTAATGTCTCTCTGGATAGAAGTGAAAATGTCAACTTTAGTTATAGATCACTAGTTTTTGGGAAGAAAATTGAGGAAGAAATATGTAGGCAAGTTTAGAATAACAACAACAAAATGGCACTTGTATAACGCCTTTCATGTCGGGAGGACGTCCAAAGGCGCTGGACAATCTGTTTCAGACCAGAGCTGAAGGTCGGGATCGGGAGGGTGGAGGGCAGGTGGGGAAAGAGGGTGATGAAAGGCACGGTCGAAGAGGAGGGTTTTGAAGGAGGCAGGGGAGGAGTAAGGCAGAGGGTCTGCGGGATGGAATTCCAGAGGTTGGGGGCAGAGTGGCTGAAGGCTCGCTTACCAACGGTAGGTCGAGCGAGGTGGGAGAAAAGGAAGCAGGACGGAGCCCGCTGAGCATAGGGAGTGGAAAGGTTGGTAGGGGGTTAGGAGGTCGCAGAAGTAGAGGAGAGCAAGGCCATGGAGGGCTTTGAAGGTGAGGACCAGGAGCTTGAACTGTAATCTGTGTGATGGGAAGAGAGGGGAGTCGGGCGAGGATGGCGGGGATAGGATCACAAAGCCTGGTGCGGGAGAGGACACGGGCTGCAGAGTTCTGGATGATCTGCAGCCTGTGGAAGGAGGAGTTGGAGAGGCCGACAAGCTGGGAGTTTGCATAGTGAGGCCGGGATGTTATGAATGCGTGTATGAGGGTTTTGGTGGCCTGCGGTGTGAAACAGTGGCGGAGCCGGGCGATGTTGCGGATGTGCGGGGAGGCAGAGCGAGTCATGGCAGAGATGTGGGATAGAAAGGGAAGTTGAGGGTTAAACAAGACGCCGAGGTTCTGGACTGGTTCAGAGAGGTGGAGTGTACATCCATGGATAGTGATTCTGTCAGCGCATGAGGTGAGGAGGTGCTGACAGGAGCCAATCAGGAGAGCCTCGGTCTTGCTGACATTCAACTGAAGAAAGTTTGCTCTCATCCAGGACTTGATGTCTAACAGACATTCTGTCAGGACAGCAGTGGTCCTGCAGTCGAGGGTGGAGGCAGAGAGGTAGAGTTGGGTGTCATCCGCATACATGTGGAAGTTGAGCCCATGTCTGCAGATGACGTCACCAAGAGGGAGCATACAGATACGGGGGCTTGAGGAGAAGCTGTTTGTGGCGATGAAGTGGAGAAGGTATGAGAGGTAGGATCTGAACCATTCAAGAACAGAACCATGAAGGCTGAGGTGAGAAGAGAGGCGGTGAAGGAGGATAGAGTGGTCAACGGTATCGAAAGGCAGCAGAGAGGTCAAGGAGGACGAGGAGGCAGAGGTCGCAGATGGACAAGAATGTTGTAGACGCAGTAGAGAATGGTAGTATATTCAAATGGTAAAATTCTCATTTCAGTGGAGGACTGGAGGGATCCAAGGAAATAAACATAGATTGTTAAAGGTGGGATTACAGGTAGATAAGACAGTTAAAGGGCAAAAAGGATTCTGGATTTTATATTCAGGGCTATTGAACAAAAGTTAGTACATAACTTTTATAAGATGTTGGCTAGTCCACAACAGTAATATTATTTGCGATTTTGGGTGTTGCATTAAATAGAAGATGTTTAATGAATGAATTTTAAGATATAACTAGGAAAGTTAAGAAAATAAACACCTAAGTGTGGAATGAATTATTAGGGCTGGCTGTTGGAGCAGACTCGATTGGAGCATTTAAAAGGGAATTGGATAGGTCCGTGGAGAGGAAAGGTGTTACAGGGAAAGAAACATGAATTAGGATTGGGATTAGGAAACCAGCATAATGGGTCAAATGATCTCCTATTTGGGTAGTAATTCCTATGGTTCTATTTGGTGACTTAATTAGATGCAATTCTTTAAAGGTTGCTGAAAAATAATTCTCCCGTTTCCTTTTTCCTGTTGATGTTGACCTTTTTCATTCAGGAGTGCAGTTTATGTGAAGACCTACGATTTGCTCGAACTGGAGTCTGCATAAGCTGTGATGCTGGCATGTGCCGGGCATACTTCCATGTGACCTGTGCTCAAAGAGAAGGGCTACTTTCTGAAGCCGCTGCTGAAGAGGTGAGTCCACATTTCCAATTCGTACCTGCTCTTTACTTTCATCTCACGTTTTTGAATTGCTGTAAATAAAAGTCATTTGATAAGTGGTTTTCCAGTTAATTGGCTTTTTTCTGTGTGAACTGCATTTATTTAAATTACTTTTTCAAAAGATTTATGAAGTAGCTGCATATTTCATCAGTGTTCTTGCACGTTGAGGACAAAATGGTTTAAAGTCTGAATAAGGAAATACAGTAGACCCTCTTCATAACACAATAGTTGGATCCATAAAATCCCATCTTGCATGATAACCAAAACGAAATTCAATACTTTGCATTCAATGGTCATGCGCTGTAGTAACTCACCCCTTCATTAGGGCTTATTACTAGTTGTCTGATGTTTTGAAGCACCAATGGGTGTTTGGGATTTTATTGGTATATAAATGTTGGAGTTCATATCCCAATTGTGCTGCAAGTGAATCTTTGTTATAATACAGTTGTTTTATAACAAGGTTATACCATGGAAGGTTTTCCAGGGATCACTTGGCTCAGTTGGTAGCACTCTTACCTTTCAGTTAGAAGGTTGGAGTTCAGACTTGTTGTCAGGACTGTTAACTCACATTGTCGAGATCTAGCCTCTGATACAATGCTGGGGAAACATTGCATTGTTGGATGAGACGTTAATACGAGGTCTTGTCTGTCTGTTCACATGGATAATAAATATCCCATAGCACTACTCGAAAAGAGAAGAGAGTTTCTCCCAGTGTTCTGGCCAACTATCCCCCAGATAAAATCGGTCATTCACTTTATGGTTGCTTGTAGGACATTGTTGTGCCTAAATTGGCTGCTGTATTTGTGTACAGTCAAATCACTTCAGACTAAATCCTGTGAAACATTAAAGATGCTGTATCAACTGCAAAGATTATTATGATTATTATTGTATATAATTATTATTAGTAAACCAAGTCCTGCTGTTACTTTTTAAAATGGGAAAAGAACAAGAGAAAATTATGGACAAACATTCAGTTGTTTCAGTTAATTAATATTGCTCAATTTGAAAATATAAAAAGCATTGTTTGCAAATGCTCTTAATATTTTTAATTTATTGTCGCTGAGATAAGATGCATTAACTGTTTTGTAACTAGAAGTGATTGAGAGAATTTTGAGCAGATATGCATTTTGATCTTATGCTCATTGACATTCGTTGACTTTTTTAGAATAATGAAATTTCAGAGCATATGTCCACTCTGGCTTGTGCAATTTTATTTGAATATATTCACCAGAAGAATTGTTATTACTTCCTATATTGCCAATGCCACTTAAAAATGTGAAAAAGTGGATCTGTGCACACCGAAGAGTGTGTACAGTATTTTGTGAGAATGTATAGGATTTCATGTTAAAATAGTCAAAAGTTTCATTTTTGAAAGCTGCGATGGGGATACAGATTTTAGACGGTGAGTATATTGGCGTCAAAGTTCTGAATCAATTGGATTTTATAGATAGTGGAGCTTGGGAGACAGGTGAGGGGGCATTGTAATAGTCGAGGGAGGAAGTGGCTGAGCGTTTTGGCTGTGTTGAGTGTGAGGTACGGTTGTAGGTTGACAATGTGACGGAGATGGAAGAAAGTGGTTACTGGTTAGGAACAGGATGTAAGCGAACCTCACACCTGAGTTACCTAAATGTTCGGTAAATCTTACGGAAGGGCTGGGGAAGTTGAGGTCAGAGCTGCAGGAGAGATGACGTTGATGGGAGCCGAGGAGTATGGTTTCTGCCTTGTCGATATTTAGCTGCAGGAAGTTTGCACTCATCCAGTCCTTGATATCTGACGAGCAAGCTGATAGAACCTTAGTGGACCTGAAATTGCAGCTGAATGAGGAAAAAGTAGATTTGGATGCCGTCCGCTTATGTGTGAAAGTTTATCCTGTGTTTGCAGATGACTGAGTGGGAGCAGGTAAATGAGGAACAGATAGGACAGGGATGGAGCCTTGTTGTGCGCCTGAGGTGTGTTTTCTTAATGGAGTGAGACTAAGAACTGTGGAGGAACAAAGGAATTTGGGTGTCCATATCCACAAATCACTAAAAACTAGTTCCCAGGTGTATAAAGTAATCAAAAAGATAAATGGAGTGTTGGCTTCTATAATAATAATAATAATCCTTACATTTGATACATGTCTTCGAGATATCTCAAATAGTTTTACAGGATATACTGTAAAGTGTCGTGACTGTGTGTCGTGGACGAAATGCAGCAACCAATTGCGCAAGGCGACATCCCCGCAAAACAGTCGTGGATTGAGTGACCAATTGTTTTGTTTGAGGGATTATTACCCCCTGAAAAGTGATCCGCCAATCGACTAACAACCAGGTTCCTACTTATTGCTAGGCAAACAGCCGTGTGTGTGTGGGCAGTAAGGATACTTGCCAAAGGTTTCAGCCTGTCCCACCCAGAAATTGAACCCAAGTCCTCTCACTTGTGAGAAGGGGAGAGAGAGAGAGTATGAGGGTGTGAGAAGGAGAGAGAGAGACACATGCTCTCACATACACATACACACACTCTTTCTCACCTGCGCACGCCCCCTCAGGGTGATTTGATTGAGGTGTTTAAGATGATAAAGAGATTCAATATGGTAGATACAGAGAAGCTATTTCCTATGGTGGGGGAATCCAAAACAGGGGGCACAGTCTTAAAATTAGAACCAGACCTCTTAAGAGTGAAATCAGGAAGCATTGTTTCACTCAAAAGGTGGTAGAATTCTGGATTTCTCTCCCCCAAGAGACTGGATGCTGGATCCATCCACACCTTCAAGAGTGAGGTTGATGGATTTTTGGAAGGTCCGGGTATTAAGGGATATGGGGAAAAAGCAGGAAATTGGAATTGACAGAATTAGTTGAGGTACAGATCAGCCATGATCTAATTGAATGGCGGAACAGGCTGGAAGGACTGAATGGCCTACTACTGTTCCTATGAGGGGCCAGGAGAAAAAGCCGTTTGAGGAGACAAGGTGATAGTGGTTAGCTAAATAGGACTCAAACTAGGAGAGTGCGGGCCCACTGATTGACTGGGTGGTGGCGTGGTCGAATGCAGTGAATAGGTTCCAGGAGGACAAGGAGGTATTAACATTGTAAGACAAAACAGAGGGATCCCTGGTTAGAGAGAGGGAAAGGATGTAGTTTGGGGTAACACAACTGAAAAGCATTGTTTCAGCATGCACACTTTCCCAGCTACACTGCTTTTTAACCTGTCTTGGTTACATTTGAGGGTGGAAGCGACAACCATGGATAGATGAAATGCTCCCAGTGACTGCTCTTCAGATAGCAAAATGGTTTTACTATAGTTTGTCTGGTCAAATTATAAACAAAAGTTTGGTGAGTAGTTGCATAAAATAGTAGTGAGTACTGTAGTTGCTTCAAAACAACTGTATCAGCTTCTCTTCTATCTCAAATCTCAGAAGTTGGAGCCAAAGATGGTATTTCCATAGGATGAACTTTGGTGGTGGGTTCTGTCTCTATCACTAAGTGTGAGTTATATTAAGAATTCGCTGCTGAGTTTAGAATTTCACTACTGACTTAACTAATGATGCCAAAGGGAGTTTTGTTGTGGAAAGTTTAGGTACTTTACCTAAAGTAATTTTCAGAAGTGATCCTATTATATTTTGGGTAATGCATTTTCAATTGGTAGGGAATGAAAATCAAAAATGTGAAAAAATTCTGTTCCTGATTTCAATGCATATTCAATTTTGAAATGTTAATATGTGTTCATACACTGTAAAAGCATCTGATGGTGTAGATTGCAAGCATCTGCTCAGTTTAGAGGTATAAAACATTGTGTGCTGTAATTGTTGACAATCTTTGAACGATGTTTGAAATCAGAACTGATGCCATCATAATCCTTTCAACTGTGGAATATGACGTTATACGGTTTAAATAACTTACATATCAATGGAGAATTGAATTCACTGTTTTTCCTCTTTTGGCACAGGATATAGCTGATCCGTTTTTTGCATATTGCAAACAGCATGCTGACAAATTTGACAGAAAATGGAAACGAAAGAACTATTTAGCTTTACAGTCATACTGTAAAATGACCTTGCAAGAACGAGACAAGCATGTCAGCCCAGAAGCACAGGTACATGTGCTAGAACTGTAACATTGTTTATTACATTGTATTAAAAGCTTTGTGTAAAAATGAAAGGAAAATTGTAGTGGCACTTCTCATGAAACCTACTCCGTTGACCCAATTCCCACACCGCGCTTGTCTACCAACCTGCCACTTCTTGGGCTGTGTTATCTGATGCCGACAGCCTCTATGTGGTTCGGTACTCCCCCTTCTCAAACAGTGGTCATATCCCTTCTCAAAAAAAAAGCACTTTGCCTCCCCCCGTCCCCAACTCTAGCTATAAGCCCCATATCCAACCTGCCCTTCCTCTCCAAGGTGCTGAAATGCACAGTCACCTCCCAGTGCATTCTTGGTCTCCAACCACTCCAGGTGTTAGTCCCTCCAATCCAGGTTTCGCTTTGCTCACAATGCTGAGGCAGCCCTTGTCAAATTCACAAGTGACATTCTCCCAGTGTACAACCAGGGCTTGCTATGTGTCTTGATCTCCTCTGTGTTTCACGCTGTCAGCCTTCTTCACTGAGTCTCCTTTCTGGTACGCCTCCGTGGCTTTGCATTTACCTGGTGTTACTTTTATTTCAGCACCTTGGGACGTCCTCCTGAGGTGAAAGACGCTATATAAATGCAAGTTGTTTTGCTTTTGTCCCAATATCTTTAATGCTTCTACTCTGCTGGTTTCTCCAACTCCACCACTATGTTTGTTGGGGCTCTATTTTTAGTCCTCTCCTTTTCTTCCATCTCTATGGTACCGTTGATGACATCATCCGCAGGCATGGGATGCACTCCATACATTTGCAGATGACATTCAACTCTACCTTTTTGCCTCCACTTTCAACTCCAGACACATTAACTGACAAACATAATAATAATATCAAGTCCTGTAAGAGCCTCAATTTTCTCCAATTCAGTGTTAACAAAACTGAGTTTCTCCTGCTTGGCTCTTGCCAGCATCAACTTACCTCAGTACTGATTGTTTCGATGTTCCTAGTTGCTCACTCCGGTTCACAAGTACTGTGAGGAACCTCAACATTTTGTTTAACGCTCTACTTTTGATTTCATCCTGGCTCTGACCAAGTCCATTTTCTTCTGTCTTTGAAACAATGCCCATAACTCAATCAAAATCCTCATTCATGCATTTTTCACCAAACCCTGCTCATAGGCCTCCCTAGCTTTACCCTTTACAAAGTTCAGATCATTTGAAACTTCACAAGTCTTGGATAATCTCTTTAACAGGCTCTGTGAGCCCAATATCCCCAATCTTGCCCTGCTACACTGGTTCCCATCCACCACATGATCAAATTTTAAAAAGGTCTTGCCTTCAAATGCAACGTCTCAAATCCCACGATGTCCCCAAATGCGTCCATGGCCTATGTGTGCAATCTGTGACCCTACTCCTACTACAAACAGCTGTGATCAGTCAGAAAACAGTTACCCTATCCATATTCTTATGGATATGGATAGGGTAACTTTTGCCCACAAATATATGGTCAATTCACTTTACGGTCTGTTCTGTGAAGTGCTTTGAGAGGTCTAGAAGATGTGAAAAGCGCTATATCAAGTGCAAGGATTATTATTATTATATTCTGTGAACCGCATTGAGACGTCTCAAAGATGTGAAAAGCCCTATATCAAATGCAAATATTATTATTATCATTATTATTAACTCTGCAGCTTGTGTCCGCTCCTGCAGGCTCCGTGAACCTATCAACCCCACCTTTGCCTGGCTCTGCTGGTTCCCCATCCCCCAGAGGATAGAGTTCAAAATCCTCACCCTCATCTTCAAAACCCTCTACGGCCTTGCTCCTTCTTTCCTACACCATTTCAAATTTGTCCGTTCCTTCTGCTCAGGAGGCTCCAGCCTGCTTCATGTCCAACGCCCAGCCTTCCCCACCATCGGCAGTCGGGCATTCAGCCTCTCTGGCCCTACCCTCTGGAACTCCATCCCACAGTCCCTTCAACTTGTTCCCTCCCTTACCTCCGTCGAGTCACATTTCAAAACCCTCCTCATCAACTGTGCCTTCGCTCACCCTCCTACCCTCCACCCCTCCCGTTCCCAACTCCCTGCTCAAGTCCAAATCCCTGACTCTCCAGCAACATGACGCCTTCCCGACATAAAGGGCACTTTACAAATGTAATTTATTATTATTGTTGTTAAGTGGCTAAGAAGAAGATTTTTACAAATAAATACATTTTTATTTGTTTCCCAAATTGACAATTATCTTCCTTACCTAAAAAATATTTGCCATTCATCTTCCTGTAATGTGAATTACAAACTTGTCGATTTTATGTAGTTTTAACCATAAAGGTAGATATTCGATGTTCACAATATGTACATCTTTAAGTTTAAGCAGATGCAAAACTATGTAACACATTTTGGAAAAATGAACTCCCTTCCTTTTCAAGTCTAGCTGAGTTCTTTGTTCAATCCAATGCCATATGTTTTTGGCCGGCTCTAATATGCTGTAAAGTGAATTGACTGTATATTTGTGGTGGTCAAAACGCGGCAGCCAATTGCGCACAGCAGTGTCCCACAAACGGTTGTTGATTGAGTGACCAAATTTTTTTTTAAGGACTAGTTCTGATTGATGTGCAGCTTGTGGAGGGAAGAGTTGGAAAGGCTGAAAAACATGCTTAAAAAAATGAGATAAACAGAAAATATTTTGGTGATAGCACTCAATTGTTTTGATAGTTTTGTTGCAGTTTTTTTAATGATGGCCTCTAATAATGATTACTGGCACCTTAATAATTGCATTGTTTTCTTGACAATAATTGTATCATCATTTGAATGTATAATTGCTGTTTTGAATTTAGCCTGCTGATTTTTTTATTATTTCTGTATGTTTAGGCACGCATCACTACAAGGCTCCAGCAATACCGTGCGAAAGTGGAGTTCAATCGTAATGCCAAACCCAATGCGTGGGTTCCCAGGGAGAAGCTACCACGCCCACTCACCAGCAGTGCTTCTGTTATCCGCAAGCTTATGCGGAAAGCTGAACTGATGGGGATTAGCACAGACATCTTCCCTGTGGACAATCTAGATACCAACTCTAGTGTGGATGGCAGGAGGAAGCACAAACAGCCAGCCTTGACTGCTGACTTTGTGAATTATTACCTTGGTACGGAAAAGGATATGAGAAACCATTGCAATGGAAGTATAGGCTGATGGAATCATTTTCCTGAAAATTAAACGTTTCACTGACGTGGAGTAAAATGATGTATTGCTAATTTTCATAATGTTGGAAACGTTTCACTACCCGTGGACAAAGACGAGAGCTAAAGTCCTCAGTCTTAATTTAGTAGTTATTGTCTAAAAATGATAATATAAATTTGTCCACTCTAAAGAAAATTAAGCTGTGGACAGCGTTTTAATACACCTGTTTACATTTTTCTTAACTATTTATATGTTGATTTACNTTTTTTTGTTAATATTTTAGTAGTAGCCCATTAATTCTGACTTCTATTTATTTGCAGAGAGGAACATGAGAATGATGCAAATACAGGAAAACATAGCTGAGCAGAAGAACTTAAAGGATAAACTTCAAAACGAGCAGGAATCACTTCATGTAGAGTATAATAAGGTAAGAGAAAGTTTGTGTTGTAGTGTAAAATACATGCTATGCAGTTATAGGAAACCTGTTCTATCAATTAACAGAAACACTCTGGAGTGAAGAATTGTATGTGCTGCTTTAATCTGTAGTTATCCCAGGAAGATGGAAAACAGGAAAAAATTGTATTATTGTTAAGACACTGGTATTTCACATAGAAATGCTTGTAAGACGAAATGTTTAGCAGCAGGCAGTGCATTTAGGGAGAGCATTAAAACATATTGCAAAGTGGTACCAGTTTACTGATCATTTCATGGTCTGATGTTGATTGGAAGATAAGTTTAAACTGAAAGAATTGTTTGGGAAATGATTACAGCTGTGAGAAGTGCCTAGTTCTGAAACTTCTCCATCTTTAATAATTTGGTTATTTACTCCTCCCTCTTTAATAATTTGGCTATTTAGATCCACATCGCTACGCAGTTTTCTTGAAGTTTATGTGCAGTGCTATAACACGCCCTCCCAACATGAATGGCACTATATCAATGTAAATTATTGTTTTAAGAGCAAAAAGTAATGCTTCACATTTAGAACCCTGCCAGTGACATTCAAATAAATATCTTCTTATGCAGAACATAACTTGGGGAAATGAAGGCACTGATTTCAGTAATTAGAGGTAAAGTACTCAACTCAGTACAGAGAAATCAGCAGATTCTGTGTTACCAGCCCAAAGTTTAATATAGGATGAATAAAATGCTTTCCCAATATTATTGACCTAAGTTTAAATTTAGACTATTACATTTTTTTGTATACACTCTTTAAAATGTTGCAAGTGTATGACATTCAGATGGAACTTGTTTAACTTAATGGAGTTTTTAAAGACACAAAAGAATGACTTGCATCACTTCATACTGCTAGAATGTGTTGTATAGCACTCTGGACTTTACAAGTATATGTCATTTTAATATGATTATTCAGAAACCTTTTATGGAAAATTGAATGGATTGGAGCAATGATCTTTAACCTCTGACATGTGGAATTAAATCAAGTTCAAGCTGCTAGGTTGTATGTCTCTCCTCTGACTTCAACTGAGATGGATTGCAATTTCACTCTAGTGGACATAGATGCGTGGTACACAACGGTATACTTAATAATATTAATAAAATTTGTCACACAATGGCATTCATTCAGCAAGATCTCATAATTTTATAATCACTAATTCTAGTGTGAGAAATAGAAGAATTCATGAGAATATAATACTCTTCTGAGATAGAAGCAAGATTGCTTTGTTAATGTAGAGTACAGATAAGGTAAGCACATTAGAAGTATAAATAGACGCATGGCACTGTTGAAAGAGATCAAAGGGTGTTGGTTGATTCCTCGCTCAACTCCAAACAGTGTGGAGCAATACCAGCAACTTGCATTTATACAGGAACTTCATGTAGGATAACATTTTGGATTGTTTCACAATGACGGGGTTGGATGCTGAGCAAGGGAGGGTGGGAAGGTGACTGTAAATATGGTCGAAGAGGTAACTTTTTAGGTAGGATTTAATGACAGGGAGCTAGAGGGAGGGAGTTCGAAGGGATGGGGCAAGATGATGGAGCAGAGGAGGTAAGGATGTGCAACAGGCCTATTTGCTGTAGGGGGGAGTAAAAGAGTGGGATAGGGCGGAATAGGGTACAAAGGGTGAGGACCTTGAATCATGTGGAGTATAAACCCCAGCAAGGACTAGCTGGGCTGAACGGGTTTTTCTATGTTGTATATTCTAAGTAAATCTATGAAATCGATTTATTGGGAGACGAGGAACCCGATGGAATCTAGTGAGGAATAGGGTGATGGATATGCAGAGTTTGGTGAGGATGTGGTCATTGGAGTTTCCAAAATTCAGCAGTTTGTAGACCATGGATCTAGGGAGACTAGTGAGGAGTACATTAGAAAGTCAAATGCAGCTAGGTAACAAAGGTGTGAATGAGCAGTAAAGGAAATACGGTACAGGATGTTGGACTATGTTGCCAAATTAATTTAATTCAAATCCTAAGAGTCATACTGCTCTAGTCAGATTCCACTTGAAATGCTGTGCACATTGCAACAAAAACAAGTTGCATTTATATAACGCCTTTCACATCAGAAGGCTGCCCCAAGATGCTGGACAACTGAGGTTTTGCTACTGAACTGAGGGTTGGATTCGGTTGGGAGAGATGCCCAAAGGGCTTTCAAAGAGGAATGTCTTGAGATGGACCTTGAAGGGAGAGAGACAAAAGGACTCTGTGATACAGTTCCAGAGATTATGGAGAGATAGACTGAAAGTCTGACCGTCGATGGGCAGGGTGGGGGATGTAAAACAGTGCCTGCTGAGTGGAGGGAGCGGGGTGGGGGTGGGGGAGCGTGGTAGGGTTTAAGAGGTTGCAGAGATGGGAGGGTGGAAAGCCGGTGGAGCTGGGAGTGAATGAGGGTAATAGGCTCGCGGAACCCGGGGCAGGAGAGGACACTAGCTGCAGAGTTTGTCTGTAGTTTGTGTCTTAGGATTTGAGTGGTCTGCAGATTGAGGAGGGAAGATTTAGGAGTCTGGTGAGCAAGCGTTGGCTGCACATGATGAAAACAAGATCTGACAAGGTAATAAGACAAGCAAACACAAGTTCTGGCACATGAAGGGCACCTTTAGCACCAAGCCCTGATCTCAGATCACAAGAGAGATATGGTTAAAAAGACCCTTTGTCCCTTTTGATCTCATGCTGCCAGAGTACCAGTGTACCAGTTACTTCAGCCTCAACCACCCTCCTGGCAACCTGTTTGAACTGTTGATTACCTCTTGTGTAAAGAAATATTTCATATAGTGCCCTAAAATTATCCTTCATGTCGCTGACCTGAGTTCTCTTATCCTGTTGCTAAGCAAAGTATTTGTTCAAGGTTCACTTTTTCTACCCAATTTTGCATATTACATACCTCTGTAAGGTCTCCTATGCAACATTTTTTTAAAGTTAAAGAGCCTTCGCTTAGCCACTCATTCCTTGAAGTTCATCCCTCCAATACCAGGGATCGGCTTTTTTACTCTTCTCCGCTGTCTCCAGAGCCTTCTGTTGTGATAACTAGAACAGTAGTGAAGTGCTCGGATCAGTGTGGCCTGAGCAGAGCACTACACAACTTGACACTTCTGTTTTCTGAACTCTCTTAATGATTTGGCAATATATTCCAGCATCCTGCTTGCAATTATTGTTGCCTTATGCTATTTGCACAAGGTGACCAATGTCACCTGTCACTTTTGATCACTTTTCTCTTAACTTCTATCCCATTTATGTAATACATGTGCCCCATTCATGTTGATTATGAATTCTGCTCAAACATAAAGGATTGCCATGTAACCAAGATACTGGCAAGAATTTAGCAATTTGTGGATCCATATCATTTTAGAAGAAAATGCTTTGAGGAGCGGACAAAAGAAAAAAAAATTGGGTAGATATAGTCATTGCTGACTGCAAAATCCAAGACCTAACTCCTGTAAAGAAGGGTGGGACAACATGAAAGACTTGAAAGGTGTGGAACGAGCACAGTCAAATCCAGACGTGCATGAATGTACGCATGAATGGGTAACCTCATCTGGGCAGAGACCAAGCATCTGTCAATAAGAGCAGGAACAGGGAATTAAGTTCCCTGCTACATCTTCATCCATGGATTTGACTTGTGTGCAGCCATCTAATCTTTGCTGTGCAGCTCAGAAATAAAGCAAATGGGAAACCCTGCACTAATCTGCACTAGATGTGTTTTTAAAAGGAGAGGAAAATGTATCTGTATACTCTCATGAAAGGTCATAACTGAAATGTTAATGTGTATTTCTCGTTCAGATGCTGATTTCCCTACTGTGAACTTCTACTGTTTTGTGTTTTTATTTGCCAGCACACTTGCTGATATTTTAGCTAAAATGGAAAACCATGTGTTTAGAGTGCCTCCTACAGACAGTTTTTATTTTTTTTAAAAAGAAGCCCAGAATAACAATTGCTGCTGTATGATTTCCATTTAATTCCATGCTTGTAACCTCCCACCTATTCTTTCTTGCTCAGTTGTTTGAATCGTTGGAAAATCTGAGAAATATGAACAGCAAATTGCGTAGAGAAGGACAAACTCTGTGGAGTACACTTGGTAACATTGCTGGCCAGGTTAGTGGATGAAATCTATTTGATTTCTTTTCGTACATGATTTTATTAAATGTTTTTCTCTCCTGCAATTTAGTGCTGGCATAAAGCCAATTGAGTCAACCGTACTGAAAGAGTAATGATTTCTGATGGGAATAAATCGATAGGCATGCAACCTACCTTATAGCTGATTTGTGTTATAAAAACTATCATGTTTGTAGAATGTACTTCTTTCCATTTTCAGTAATTGATTGACCTGCCAGGTGTGATGGAACTAACTCCGTCATCCCAACTACTTTTTTTCCCAGTTGTACAAAGTTGTCGAGATCTAATGTGCTAATATGTCAATCCGTTCACGCTAGTTGTTATTTCATTGTCTAGATGTAGATTCTTGGGGACATGAATACTGATTAATACAGTATTTAAATTAACAATAAGGATTGAACCTTAATATATTTTACAATTTTAGTGGGTTTAAGACATTTTTCCTACATGAGAGTTACAATACCATTGCAAATTGTTATAACTTGTGTATTTTTCTTCTTCTTTTAAAGTAAACTTTTTTTTAAAGAAGCAAAGATACATTTTTGGGTCAATGAATCTGTAGCCTCAATTTACTTGTTGGGAATTAGAATTATTGTCAGGGAGCACTGAGTGGCATTCTGATCAATAGAAAGTGTAAAGCAGGGTACAAACACATCTTTCAATTGTCAAAAGTGTTTGCAGAATAGAAAAGTCCTATGTAATAAAATGTAAACAGGACCTTGTTTTATTTTCAAAATAGTTAATTTTGGGGCAGGTTAAATTCAATTCATGAGAACTGAACCTGCATTTTTGACATCAGTAAGGTGGGACTGAACAAAACATAACAGCTATTGGTTTAAGAAACTGGAAAGCAACAAGAAATTAGATTCAAGGCTACCATGCTTGAAATGATCATTGCATATGACTTACAATTTCAGAACCTTTTTTCCCCAACCAGAAAATAACAAAGCACAAAAAGCAACAAGATGTGCTAATGCATTTCCTACTGCATGCAGTAAAAAACAGTAACAGCAGGATTCATTTACACAGCTTGCATAACACTTTTTTTCCAGTTGGCTGAACAGATGCAGGCCCACAGGGCCACTGTGAAATGACTTTGATAGATGGTTGCTGTCTGGGAAGCTAGCATGCTGCAGATTAGTGGAAACCCAAAGAGAATCTTGTCTGCTTTGTAGAGAGTTTGGTCCAATAAGATAATTTTTCTAATTAACCTATAGAGCACCAATGTACCTGGATGTTGAGGAAAATAAACTACTTTAATATTCTTTTGTCAAGGCTGGCATTTTTCCTCACCTAAAGTAGTGTGTCCTTGTCTGTCACTTTCAAAACTCTGAAAGTAAGTCGTGCAATCTTATTCTGTAAAGCTGTTACACGTTGGTGTTAGGCAAGCTGATTTGCTTTAAAATTGATTTTACATCTCGCTACTCTGTATGAATTAAAATTTGTGCAATACTTTGAACTTGTACACCCATGGAGAATATTATTAAGCTTCAAGCTGTGTTTTATCATTATTAACAGTTGAGTATGAGTTGTCTTGTCTGCTAACTTATAAAGTGGAAACAACAATTGATTTTAATTTTCTTATTTACAGAAGTTGAATTACCCAGTAATCCTACGCACGCCCAAGGAACGACGACTAAGTAAGAAAGATGGAGGAACTTTGAAATCATTGTCATCACCAGCAGTACTGTACAGGTACATGGCTAATCTTCATTACCAGATTGCTTCTTCAACTAAAGAGACATATCCAATTTACAAAATGCCCATTGCAAGACTTTTCCATAATAATTGTTCCTTTGTATAACTGGTTATGTTGTAACACTTGGTGCCAAAATTATTGTTAGTTGTAATTATTTATTACAGGTTAAAATTGTAATCCAAATCTCTTTAATTTTAACCTGTTTTGGGAGTGAAATCCCCCCTGCCCAGCTTGAGTGCAGTTTGTCCGAAGACTTTGTGGCATCTTCTTGATCATCTGTTTAGCAGTCGTGACCTGATTAATTTTCTTAACCAGGAGCAGGCATTTGAGAACTATTTCAAGAATGCTGATTGAGTTAAACGAGTATCCTGTTTTTAGCTGCATTGAAAAATCACTCTATGTGATCAGAAACAACAAATGGAATACTGAAGTCTTCGAGGCCAAGATTTTGCTGAACTTGGGGTGGGTGGAAGAAGAGGTGGTACCCAATTAGTTTTGCTTTAAAAATAAATCACTACTTTTATTATCCATCTAATTTTCACTATTCCTCAGGACTGTTCACACCATGCAGTCAAGAGGATAGCTGGTCCAAGAAACCACTTATAGTCTGTGATAATGAAAACAAGCAGTGGTGGAGGGTGTTATCTGATGGATGAGTTAGTCGGGGTTAATTTTACTCACAAAAAATATTACTGCATTGGTTGTAGCTGAATAGATGCAGTGGAGTTTATTCAATAGAAGGCCCATATAGCTGGGCTGTATGTATCTTCATCTTGAATCTTGTTTTGTTTGCACCAAAAATAAGAAATTGATGCTTCCACATGGAGATTTGGAGTTGTTTACAGAACTAACTATGTTAATTGAATGGTGTGAATATAGTTATGAAGAAAGGAACATATTAGATGGATAATATAAATAGCCTTTTTTTTTCTAATTCATGCTCATCCAATAGAACCGCAAATCTCAAATATTCATCATAGTGGAGGAACTTTCCTTAAACTCCAATTCCTGTGAACAAACTAAAATGAGTGTATTATGCAGATTTCATTATGCAAGTCTCAGTTGATCCTGAATTGCAGTGGTGGAAGTGGAAACCATGGAATTGTTTACCTAGCAGTAAGTTGGAACTTGGGTGTTAGTCGATTGGCGGATTGCTTTTCTGGGGGTAATAATTCCTTTAAAAGAAATAAAAGTTTATTTATTATTCCACAACTGTTTGTGGCACCTGCTGTGTGCAGTTGGCTGCTACATTTCCCCCACAAAATACACAATCAATTCATTTTACAGTTTATTGTGTGGAGTGCGTTGAGACGTCTCAAAGATGTGATAAGGCGATATGTCAAACGCAAAGATTATTATTACTATTATTAATTGAGAATGGAACCCATTGGATAAGGAAAAGTTATCAAAGATGAGGTGGAGCTGCTGAGTTGCAGTGTCTGTAGAATGCTAGGAACATAAGATGAGTGGGTTATCTACTGGGGTTATGGCAGATAATTGAGGTTTTACTACGTTTGTGTGGTTTGCCCGAAACTGGAACTTTCAAAGACCGCTATTTTTCAAATATCAAGTCCATAAATAGCGATATAATTGCTTTTTCTACACCTATGGAATTGCACCCTGTTATGCCACCTGTGATATGTATAATTAGGACAGATTGCAGGACGAGGTGTGATTTATGTAACACAATTGTAAGGTCAGATTTTGGAATACTTAGACTACGCTCATGCTCACAAAAAACTAAACAGAGGGTCACAAAACTCACTCAAATACATGTACTTGCCAAAGCATCTCAGCCACATGATGGCAGAGCTCAACAAACTCTGGATTTAGAGCATTTATCCTGCATGAATTGAATTTGAGTTTTGCAAATATAGTGTGGGTTGTGATCCTGTACTGAATTTTGACCTTTTGTTGGGATAAACATCCTACAGGTGATTCAGAGAAATTACTGTTTTTTTCCGCAATGTTATCTACCCTGAAAGCACCCTGAATTGTGCCTTCACAAGACCAGTAGCCCTCTAGTACTCATTCCAAAGTGTCATTTCGTAATGTGTAAGCCATTGTGTGTTGGCAACACTATTCAGCTATTGAATACGTGACAGCTATGTCCGATCTATGAACTCTTTGCACAAAGGTCACTGACCAGAGATCAGGAGGAGGATTGCTGGCTGGTATTTGTTTTTCTTTCTAGAGACACTAAGCCAACTCAGGAGATTGGGAATTAACTTGTAACTCGCTGGTCTGCTTTAATCAGTACTCGGTGGTACCTTTACCAACTAGGGCATCAAGTGAATTATTCACAGGCGAATGTTTTGGAATTACAATGTATCTTGGATCATCTGTTATTTATTTGTTTGCAGCTGTGGAATTTGTAAGAAGAATCACGACCAACATCTTCTCGTCCTGTGTGACACTTGCAAACTCTATTACCATCTGGGTTGTCTGGACCCACCTCTAACAAGAATGCCCAAGAAAACCAAAAATAGTTACTGGTAAGATTGGTTTGATGTAGTAAATTTTCCAATTTTAAAATCAGTTTCTTATATTTCTTATAATTCCAACTGTCCTTTATGGAAGGCAAGTGCAACATTAATAGGCAGTTGTATAACCAGTGAACAGGCCACTTTAGAAACTAGGAATGGGAGCGGAACATTAGGAACACAGGAAGAGAAGGCCCATTGAGCCTGTTCCAAAATCATGGCCGATCGCAACTCAATTCTACCTCTCCACCCTCTCTCCATATCCCTTGGTTTCCTTGTCTATCAAGTATTCATATATTTGCTTTTTAAATTCTTCAAATGACTCTCCCTCCACTGCACTCTGGGGAGTGAACTCCACACTTCCACCACCCACTACTATTGAAGGAGAGTAGAGTGCAGATGCATTACACTGGCAGTAAATTTCCCAGTATAAGTTGAAATCAAAATAATGCCTGAATGCCGCATCCCTTTTTTTGTTTAAAAAGGGAAACGGTTAAGATGAGGGAATTATAGAACAATTAGATTTCCTTCAGTTGTGGATAAACTTGTAGAAACCATAATATGAGATTGAATTTGTGAACACTTTAAAAGGTAGGGATTGATCTAATTGTAAAGAGCCTATCATGCTTGACTAATTTAATTGATTTTTTTAAATAATGACAGTTGTGCTGATAAAGTAATGTGTTTGAAATGTATGGATTTTCAGATGCATTTGGGAAAGTGCTACATAAAAGGCACTTGAAAATTGAGGGTCGTGGTCTTAAAGGTAAATTGGTGGCATGGACAGAGGGATGGCAGAATAATAGAAGACAAAGAATAGTGCTAAATGTTTTTTTTGGCTTACATGTATGCAGTTTAACAGCATGTGAAGGATCCATTTTTGGCCATCTATTGTTTTCACTTCCTATTAATGAACTGGAAATTGACAAATAGGTAATTTTCTAAGTTTGCTCATGAGCTCAAATTAGGGGCTGTAGGAAAATGAGATTGCGGGAACTTGCAGGAGACATAGTAGGTAGATAGATAACTGATGCTACTTAATGTTGAAAAATGTGAAGTAGTATATTTTGAGGGGAAAATAACAAAAAAGGAAACTCGATATTATAACTCTTACTAATTCTGAGGAACAGATATCTAAGGGTAATGATGCATTGATCATTAATTATTATATTACAGATAGAAAATGCCATTCAATCTAAAAGTCAGAAATGATGTTAAATGTTTACAAGATTTTGATTAGGCTATAGTTTGATTTGGTCTTACTAGCTTCACTATCCATAAAAAATTAATGCAAAACCGTTGTCAACTGCATCCTTACAGACACAAACTCTATATGTCATCACCGGTCTCTGCTCCTTGACTCTCAGCAGGTTGATTTCAAAACCCTTCACTCCCTAGCATCTTCCTATCCCACTCCTGCTCGCCTCTTCTGATAAGCTAACTCGGGCTATGCTGCCATCCTTCAGATGAGATGTTAAACTGAGATCCCATCTGCTTGTTGAGGTGGACGCTAAAGATCCCATGATACTACTAGAAAAGGGAAGGGAGTTTCTCCCAGGTCCCAATGTAAGTTGTTGTTGTTGTCCTGGACAGCAATCCCCCAAATAAAAATGGTTATTTGTTTCATGACTGACGGACATTCCAGGGCACAATTTAGCTGTCACGTTCATCTACAAATACAGTCCCTACACTTCACAGTAAATCCTATGAAGCTCTTTGAGACGTCTTCACGAAATAAAAGGCTTGATACCAAATGCAAGAATTATTTTTTAATGTAAGGATTATTTTGTTTGATAATGGCTCATTTTTTGCACTGATTATCATTCCTGAAATATTGAGTTTATTTTAAAATGGAGTCCTGTAGCTCAGTGGTTAGAGCACTCGCCTTTCAAGTAAGAGACCTGGGTTCTATTCCCGGCAGGGCAAAATGTTGGGCAAGTTTCCTTACTCCACGCGCCTCTGTTTACCTAGCCGTAAGTAGGAATCTGGTTGCTAGTCGATTGACGGATCGCTTTTCCGGGGAGAGTAATCTTTCAAAAACACAAAACAATAATAATTTAGTTACTCAGTTCACAACAGTTTGTGTGCAATTGGCTGCTGCGCAATTGGCTGAAATGTGCATTAAAACTTGAGGTACTAAATTGCATTTGGATACTTTGCATTAATAATATGTTAAGGCATCGTTGTGCTTACTAGTGGGAAATTAAACTTGTAATTAGAGACATTTATATTGAAAAATAAAATAAAGGAGAATGGAATGGTTTATATTAGGTACAGTTATGATTTGAAGTATTTTGGGAGTTGAACTGTAAATTATACATAAGAATATAACAGATCCAACTGAGAAAAGCTATTCTTATTATGCCCTTCATTTTGCACTTTCTGGATCATGCAAAAATGGTGTTCTGGAAGGACAAGGCTAAATTAGTTGAAGGGCCTTCCTCATTTGAACGTTGCCTGTCATTTTCATCGCCTTATTCATTAATTTCAAACATGTCTTGCCAGTACTCCCTATTTGAATCAGGATCCACAGCCTCTGATGGCTCAGCGAGTTGAGTCAGTGAGTTGAAAATTATACAACAAAATTACATTTATAGAGCACCTTTCACATCGGGAGGACGTCCCAAAGCACTGTAAAGTCAGGTGTCGGGGCCCGAGCATGGGGGAGGGGTGGTGTAGGGTTGAGGGAAGGCAGAGAGGTAGGAGGGAGACCAAAGGCACAATCGAAGAGAAGGGTCTTGAGACCAGCCTTGAAGGAGGCAAGGGAGGAAGCGAAGCGAAGGGACCGTGGGATGGAGTTCCCGAAGAGTTGGGATAGAAAGATAGAAATGGGCCAATCTGCACTTGGTTGCTGGTAGGGAGAGAAGAAATCAGACAGGAGTTCTGTTACCGCTTGCTGGCTACAGATCTTACTGGAAATGGCCTTGTGTGGATGCCATTTGAGGACAGGTACGAGTTTCAATTTGAGGTCCTCTGTGGTGCTTGCTGACACTCGCAGTTGAGGCTGACATGTTAGTATTATATTGGAGGGAATCTGTGGAACCCATACCCAGTAAAGGGAGAAAATTGGCAAGTGGAATAAAAAATGGAACCTGTGCATTTTACCTGGAATATGTTCACTTTGCTAGAAGGCGGTCTATTCCATAAATTATTCATATTGATAGGCAATTAAGAGGGAATTTTAAATCAATGATGCAATTGAGTAATTGTTTAATTGCATTCATAAAATGTTTTCATAAGGAGTGGCTGAGACAAGACATCTAAACTTAGATCTTAATAATTTTATGTACACTCATTTTTATTTTTATTATTTTTTGGTTGACTAGTGTCTGACCCATGCAGAAATGCGTCACCACGCTTACATGTATCCAAAAATTGAGAGTTTACATGGAAATTATCTCTGTGTCTGGAGTGGAATGCACACTCCAGACACACCCTGCTTATATAATTCTAGAAAGTATTAGGCAAAATTGAAAAGAGCCGAGGATTGGGGTTCTGATGTAATTTAATCAGCTAAAACAGCTCAGCTTGCCATTGAAAGCACTGAAAATCAAGCTTTCTGCTGCTTGTTCAGCTTGGATCACCCTACCTGTTTGAACTTTGAATCGCTTAGTTAATAGGAGCTGAGTAGGAAAAACTCTTGCTGTCAATGACTGATCTGCTCAAGTTCTGCCAATGAGCCAAGTTGGCTGTTCTGTCAACTATGGACCTGCTTGGTTCAGGAACTGGACTTCTAAGATTGCTACAGAAGATTGACTTGTTTCCAAAATTCAGTTTCCGAGCTCACGTGGAGTCCTGTAGCTCAGTGGTTAGAGCACTCACCTAGCAAATGAGAGACCTGGGTTCGACTCCCGGCATGGCAAAACCTTGGGCAAGCTTCCTTACTCCACACACCTGACAATAATTCTTCAAGAAAAAAAATAATAATAATTTGGTCATTCAAACCACGACTGTTCGGACACTGCTGTGCACAATTGGCTGCCATGTTTCGCCCAAAAATATACAATCAATTCACTTTACAGGAGATTCTGTGAAACGCTTTGAGACGTCTAGAAAACGTGAAAAGTGCTATATCAAATGCAAGGATTATTATTATATTATTACCTTAGAGCCTGCTCAGCTCCAAGGGGACCCCTCTTATCTCCCTTCACCCACCCTTACAACGGGAATATCAATAATTGATCATTTGACATCCAAGCAATGCAGGTTTGCCTTTGTGTCTTATGCAAATTGTTCTTACTTTAGGCTTTACACTCTCATCTATATCAGTTTTTTATGAAGTGAAGTAATTTAATTTGTATTGCAAGGCATCTAATGTAAATAAATCTGACACCACATTGTCTGACTGACCAAATATATTCCAGGAAGATATAGAATGTATTTCTAATTGCGTGGGATCTTGGAGTATTTGCTATCCTGTATGTATTGAATTATTGTTTGCTGGTTATAATGAAGCTCAGAATGCCATTTACAACATTTTATCTTAAACCAAAACCTTAATCTTACAAGTCTGTACAGTTTTTTGTAAAACTATGTCTGACATTAGAAATCATTTCATGCATAAGATGCATGTTCCAACTGGGTACCAGAAATATAGATTGGAGTCCTGTAGCTCTGGTTAGAGCACTCACCTTGCAAGCGAGAGACCTGGGTTCGATTCCAAGCAGGGCTACACGCCTCTGTTTACTTAGCAGTAAGTAGAAACCAGGTTGTTAATTGATTGGCGATCGCTTTTCCGGGGGTAATAATTCCTTAAAAAAAATAATAAATTGGTTAATTCAATTTATGACTGTTTGCGGGACCCTGCTGTGTGCAATTGACTGCCTCATTTCGCCCACAAAATATACAGTAAATTTGCTTTATAGTATATTCTGTGAAGTGCTTTGAGATGTCTTGAAGATGTGATAAGGCGCTATATCAGATGCAAAGATTACATTATTATTGTTTGAAAAATGCAACCTCTAATGGCCCTGGGTTACTTTTTAACAAGTGTGAAAGCATAATAATAATAATAATGCTTGGATTTAATATAGCGCTTTTTCACGTCTTCTAGATGTCTCAAACTGCTTCACAGAATAGACTGTAAAGTAAATTGACTGTATATTTTGTGGGTGAACTGCAACAGCCAATTGCGCACAGCAGTGTCCCACAAACAGTCGTGGATTGAATAAGGCAATAATAAGAACCAGTGTTTCTTTAAATACATAACATTCATAACCAACTGAGCAAACTAATACCGTATTACTATGAAGAACTGTACCAGTCTCAATATTTTGATGTTTACCTATAAGATTTCAAAACTCTATAAGATTTGGATACAACATGCCAGTAATATATTTATATAGCTGAGATTTTGAATCATCTGTGGAAGATATTGTTATTTTCTCCTGTCACCTTTTAAACTAAACCTGTCATCTTTCAAATTTCAATCCTATTCTGTCATTATTTAGAACTATCCAAATACATAAAATATCAGTCTTGATGTATTTAAGTAATGTTAGTTTGCTGAATACAAATTATTTTATATTGTAGTCCAAACAACTGCCTCTTGTGAGTTGCATGCTTGAACTGTGCTTCTGATCACCAAGTTAGGTTTCACTTTTAATTAGTCAGAGCACATTCTGCGAGGTAAGATTATTGTAGAGAAGTGGAGTTTTATTGATTGTTCTTTTTTCATCTTTGTTGTGTCTTTTTGAATTCCTTTGGAGAATACTAGAAAGTGTATAAATGTCTAAAGTCAACCTAAAAGCTACCATTCTTTTGAAATTTTTCAGCCCTTTCATGAGATTTTAAAATGTATTTATAAGCTGGGCATGATTGAATTTGTCATGGGCTTTGACCCATTTGAAGTTATGCAATTTATGTCCCTGTTAAGAATTCCCATAGGCAAAAGCAACTCACCTTTTAGTTTTTTTGTAGTTTATTTAGCTCTGAATCATTGAGTGAATTTGTGTTCACTATTACTTTAGCGTTTTGTGTAAAGTCAATTGACCAGCTTCCCAATAATGATTCTTTCCTTTTCTCCTTCCTTTCTGATGTCTGGATTTTATTTTCCTGTGAACATTAAACACTGCTTGATATGTGGATTAAAATGGGGCTGAGGCTGTGACCTGTTTCACACATTTAATTTGCTTCACCAACTGCCAGATTGTAGTATTAAGTAAACGTTTGAAAGGTAAAAACACGTAACTTGATTACCATCAGTAGAAACTCTTGACGAGTGGCAGCATCTGGCCCCAGGAGAAAGCTCCGTAGCAGAATGCCAGCATTCCTGACAGCAATTCTACCAGTTTTTCTCTAGATCTCATACTCTGCTGGTAATATTATATGTCCTACAGGCAGTGCTCAGAGTGTGACCAAGCAGGTAGCAGTGACTTGGAGGCAGACATCACCATGGAAACTTTACCAGATGGGACCAAGAGGTCGCGGAGACAGATTAAGGAGCCTGTGAAATTCACTCCACTGGATGTTGCGACTGAACCAAAGAAGATCATAAACAAAAATATGGTAACTTAACCTCACCTGCACTCTATACTTGTACCACAACTTTGAAGTGTCGCAACTTATGACGTAGAGGATACACCTGTAGATGATGCACCAAGAAATAATCAGTTTATTCCAGAGTTGCAAATCTTCTTCTCCTCTGCGTGAGAGAAGAAATTTATCCTATGGCTGTTGTGTGTTATTTATATTGCACGTAGATGTAACAACTAAGGTAACATGTTTTGTTTAAAAATCCACCATTGTTTTTCATGCAACGTCAGTACGCAAAGGCTGTTATATTTCATCTGATGCCATGTAAAGTACAGTTCCCCTTGAACTTGAATGTATGCCTGTGTGTAATCTAGTTGTGTCAAGTTGAAACAATAAAATCTACTAATACATTGTTTAGTTATTTTAATCAGTGGTCACGTGCAACAGCTGTTAACAAGAGGATAGTGTCATAGAGAGACGTGGGTCAGGAACCACAGGGCAGCCTATGGGCGTTAGCTAAAGTCTGTAATGCAGAAAACTAATGTGAGACACCTATTCTTGCCAGGAAAAATAGATGTTCAGAAGTAGTGTGCAAGTGCATTATGGTTACTACAAATTAAAGGATACAAGTTGTATCATGAGCTTCAAATTTTAATTGAAAAATTTAGCCTTGAGCTGTGCACGGAAGCAAAGAAGGTGTTAGGTGNTTTTTAAAATATATTTGACATGGCTTATGCTTTTATTGAATTCTCGGTGAGAAAGCATTATATATGTTTCTATGAAGGTGAGGGATTTAAGAGTAGACCATAGGGCAGTCTCTGCCCTATGATATTGAGGGGAAACAGGCGAGTAGTTGGAAGAAAAGTGAAACCTCCAAAGCGAAAGCAACCTGGCAAGAGAGCTGTATGATGTGTGATGTACACTACATTGACACAGAATGGTAATGGGTAACATTGTACATGTCTCAATGCTCATAGTTTAAAATATAGTGCCAGTCTCTTCAAGATTTTTCTCAGTGTCAAAATAGAATTTCAGTCTCAAGGAAAGAGATTTGATATTATTCCTACTGATAGTTTGCAGATGTATTAAAATTTCTGTTTATTCTTTATTTTTGAGGTAAATTGGGATGAATTTATGAAAATTGGCCATCATGTTAAGATATAATGAAGTCTTGGTACAGTTTGTGTCTGTACAAGTGAACTGTCATATAGGGTCCTTGCCTCTATTAGAAATCATTGTTGGTCAGGTGATTTCTATTAGCACTTTATTTGGACTAGAATCACATCTTTTCTTTGTCTCTGGTTTCTAGCAAGAATCTCAAATCTTATCTACTTGCAGATAAAAAAAAGTTTATTTTACAAATTATTTCTCCCCTCTGTTGATAATTTTTTTCATTTATAGTACTTAATATATTTTTGTAGTTTTGTGAAAGAGTTTTAGAAGTAATTAGGCCATGATATAATTAGGCCAAGTCAACATGGCTTTACAAAAGGGAAGTAATGTTTGACAAATCTTATAGAATTTTTTGAGGACATTTCGAGTAAACTAGATAAGGGTGAATCAGTGGATGTGGTCTATTTGGACTTCCAGAAGGCATTCGAGAAGGTGCCGCATAAGAACATAAAAACATAATAATTAGGAGCAGGAGTAGGCCATTGGGCCCCTCGAGCCTACCCCGCCATTCGATAAGATCATGGCTGATCTTCAGACCTAACTCTAATTACGTGCCCTATCCCCATATCCCCTAATCCCTCTATTTTTAAAAAATCTATCAGTCACAGATCCTCAGTCTCTACTTTATTCAGCCCTTTAAGAATCTTATATGTTTCAATAAGATCTCCCCTAATTCTTCTGTACTCTAGAGAATATAGCCCTAGTTTATTCAGCCTATCCTCATGGGTCAGTCCCCTCATCCCAGGAACTAACCTAGTGAATCTGCGCTGCAACCCCTCTAGGGCAAGTATGTCCTTTTTTAAATAAGGAGACCAAAACTGCACACAATACTCTAGGTACGGTCTCACCAAGGCCCTTTACAGTTGCAGCAAAACTTACTACTCTTGTACTCTAAACCTTTTGCAATGAACGTTAACATGCCGATCGCCTTCTTAGCTGCTTGCTGCACCTGCAAACTAACTTTTTGAGACTGCTGTACAAGGACACCCAAATCCCTCTGAACACTAACACTATCTCTCCCTCTAGAAAATAATCTGTTTTTCTATTTTTTTCTACCTAGATGAATAACTTCACACTTCCCCACATTAAATTCCATCTTCCATCTATTCGCCCAGTCCCCGATGCCTATTTATGCCATTGTAATCTTTTTGGATCATCCTCAGAGCTTACTCTCCCACCTAGTTTAGTGTCGTAGGTTAGTCCAAAAGATAGGGGCCTATGGAATTGGGGGGAGCATATTAACGTGGATTGGGGAATGGTTAACGGGTAGGAAACAAAGAGTAGGGATAAACGGGTCCTTTTCAAATTGGCGGGATATGACTCGTGGAGTGCCAGAAGGATCAGTCCTTGGGCCTCAGCTATTTACCAGTTACATCAACGATCTAGATGAGGACATCAAAGTTAATATATCTAAATTTGCGGATGACACAAAACTAGGAGGAAGTGTCAACACAGAGGACGACATTAAAAAAATGCAGCGAGACATAGATAGGTTAGGTGATTGGGCAGGTAGGTGGCAGATGAAGTATAATGTAGGGAAGTGCGAAGTCATCCACCGAGGTAGCAAAAACAGTAGAGCGGGTTATTTTTTAGAAGGGGAGAGATTGGAATGTGTTAGCGTCCAGAGGGACTTGGGTGTCCTTGTACACCAATCACAGAAAGTTAGTCTGCAGGTACAGCAAACAATTAGGAAGGCGAACAGTGTGTTAGCATTCATTATGAAAGGATTAGAGTATAAGAGTAGGGAAGTCTTGCTGCAACTGTATAGGGCCCTGGTGAGACCACACCTGGAATACTGTGTGCAGTTTTGGTCTCCTTATTTAAGGAAGGATGTACTTGCCTTGGAGGGGTGCAGCGTAGATTTACTAGGTTAGTACCAGGGATGAAGGGGATGAGTTACGAGGATAGGCTGACCAATTTGGGCCTATATTCTCTAGAATATAGAAGAATTAGAGGGGATCTTATAGAAACCTATAAGATCATCAAAGGGCATGATAGAGTAGATAGTGGGAGATTGTTTCCCCTGGTTGGAGAAACTAAAACCAGGGGTCACAACCTTAAAATCAGAGGCCAGCCCTTTCGCACTGAGTTGAGGAAGAACTTCTTCACTCAAAGGGTGGTGAATGTATGGAACTCACTACCCCAAAGGGCTGTTGACGCTCAGTCCTTGAACATATTCAAGACTGAGATAGATAGATTTCTTATTGCAAAAGGGATTAAGGGATATGGGGATAAGGCAGGGTTATGTTATTAGCTGGAGTTAGATTAGAAGATCAGCCATGATTGAATGGCGGGGCAGGCTCGAAGGGCCGAATGGCCTACTCCTGCTCCTACATGTTATGTTAAGTTTGACCTTTTATTGTTTGACAAAACTTCATTTTCTAAAGTGACCGTGTGCTGTCTTGCACACTATTTTATTTTTGTTCCCCTTTCGGGCCCCAAACTTTAATGTAGTTGCATCTCTTTAACAACTCAGCTTTGATCGTCTGTAGCATCTTCTGAATTCAAATCCTCTTTCTCACTTTCAAAGCCCTCCATGGCCTTGCTCTTCCCTCCCTCTGTGACCTACATCCCGGTCTGTAAGCCCCTCCACTCTGGCCTGCTCCACCATCAGAGGTCGGACCTTCAGCCTTTCTGTCCCCAACATTTGGAACTCCATCCCACAGTCCTTTCGCCTTGCCCCCTTCCTTGCCTTCTTTAAGGCCCCTCTCAAGCCCTTGGCCCGTCCTTTGGTCACCCTCCCAGCCCCACCTGCCCCCCACCCTTCCTGATCCCAAACCCCAGCTCGGGTGCACATACTTGACTGTTCAGTGCTTTGGGTCATCCTCCTGACATAAAAGATGCTGTATAAATGTAATTTGTTGTTCAAGATATTCTTTGCATATCAAAGATCTTTGATACCCAAAGCACTTGTGTTTTTCAATGTTGCATGGCTTAAAGAGCTGTGAAGCATTTTCAAACTGAGCAGAAAGACTCCTTATAAACTTCTCGCTTAATAATAATAATATAATAATCCTTGCATTTGATATAGCACTTTTCACGTCTTTGAGACGTCTTAAAGCGCTTCACAGAATATACTGTAAAGTGAATTGACTATCTTTGTGGGCGAAACGTGGCAGCCAATTGCGCACAGCAGTGTCCCACAAACAGTGTTTTTGTATTTTGTATATTAATATTGTATATTAATTTTAAATATATTAAAATAGTAATTTTGTATATTAACATTGGGGCTGACCAGAATATCTGCTTTTGTGTTCTAACTGCATTGATGCCTCGAGATCTGATGTAGAGCACCTTCCGAACTGTGCAAAAGGGAGATCAACTGGATGAACTAGGGCAGTTGGAGGTTGTAAAATATAAGATGAGGAGAGACAACGGGGAATTTTGTTACACAAAGGGTTAATTAACAACTGGGTACGAAAGCAAACCAGCTTTGCATAGTCTAATTAACCTTGCTCTTCAAAAATAACACCGACAGCATGTCAGTAAGTTTCTGAACAGATATCACCACACTATGGGGTACATAACAAAGAAATGGTAATTGGTCATACAGTATTTTTTAGGGTTTAGATGCTTCTTTTTCTCCTACCAGCAGCCTGGAATTACTTAGGGTGGGAGTTAGATATATAAATAAATGGACTTTACCGCCAGATAACCCAATTCCACCTCATTGATGAGTTATCCAGATACGGATCTCATGGTAATTTACAAATACTCAATGACCCGTTAATGACCTGAAACAAGGCATTTAAGGGATTAAGCTGATGCAACAACTAAAGATTACGAGGAGACCTAATAGAGATTTTCAAAATCATGAGGGGATTTGATAAGTTAGAAAGGGAAAATCTGTTTCCACTGGT